TCTAGTACTCTAAGCATTTTAATATTGTACCATATTGACTACAGATAACATCTTGAAAACCTTCTTTCCTCTGCATTTTTTGGTAAACAGACATTATTGGTAAAATACTATATTCTTTGGAAGCACTATAATCATAAGAACTCATCCAGAATGGGGATACATGTATTTTGGTTGTTAAACATTTTCCGTGCAATTAGCGTAGAGAAAGGGAAAAAAGTAATTCTTATCATTTTGTAATATGCGTTTCAATTTTTAATTTCGTAAATTGATAAAGAAATCAATAAGTGTAAAGTATAGTAAAACATAAAAACAAATAGTATGTCATCTGCACAAGGGATTGGTGGTTTGGAATTTTATATCTTTTAGATCACTATTTTTACTATCTAAACTTTTGGTAAACATTTATATCCATGATTTATATTTCTAGGAGTATATCTAGAATACTAAGTTGGGTAGTTCCATGAGCATTTGTCTGAATCTATTAGATATAGTTGATTGACTGTGTTACCATTTTTTCTAAGTGTTTAATCTTAATACCTACTATGATGGATTTAAACAATTTCTACAGGAAAATGGTGTCAACATTGGTGCAGTTGAAGTACATCACCATATGAATGAAGTTGAGGTAAATCACCGTATGTTTTGTTTGACTCACTATTCTATTGTATAATTTTGATACATGCATAACAACATTTTGCATTAAACGTTTTATGTAAAAATATTTATTTATGTTTTAAATTGTTCGCAGAAAGAAAGAAACCAATTGTTGATGCAAAAAAATCCGGTTAATTCCAAAGTACTCAACTACTCAAAAATAGTGTGGACTGAATTGCTTCATTGTGACTTAATTATTATCTTTTATTATTTTACGAAGTCTGAATGCGAATTATTGCTTTCCACTTGCAGATACACAGTTTAGCTTGACTTGCTTGGATAAATTGTAAACATGATTTGTGAGAATGATCAAGATTTGATGATTCACCGTAGTTATTTTATGGCCAAGTAAGTGGATACCTATTTTCGTTTGTTTTGTTGTAAAGAAAGTGAGTTACGCATTCAGCATTGAGATATTTAAATTGTTAATACGTGTCTTTGTACTACATGTTTGACATTCTAGCTAGAATATATATGAATTATTTGTAATTCTTCATATCTTAAATTATGCTCATTTCTTATTGTAGTATTATCTTTAATTCTTTTCAGGTTGTCATTCAAGCAATGCATCAAAGTCAACAAGTAGGATCTGCTGAAGATGTTGAGTGCTGAGGATGTAGAGCGAACAATGAATTTAAGAATAGGACTGAATACGAGCAAAGCTCGTCAAAGAATTTATAGGATATGACTGAATTTGTTTTATTTTGACTATGTAGCAAACTTTTGAATGATCATCGGAATGCATTCTATATATATTGAGTTTTTGAACATTTTTGTTGGTGTACAGTATATTCAACCATGCATTTAAATATGGTAGCAAGCACATTTGAAATATATATATATATATATATATATATATATATATATATATGGTCTCAATTAGTTACGGAATTAGAAATGGAACTAGTGACAAATATATTCAATAGAGTAAGAAAAATGTAGCGACGGATTTTAATCTATCGCTGAAAGTCAAAGCAACTTCATTTTGTTGACCAGGGTTAGCGACGTCTTCGTTATCATTAGTGACGAATTATTCCGTAGCTACATTAGTGACGGATTAAACATGGTTCGTAACTAAAATTTAGCGACGCGGCTTTTATCTACGGACATAGTAACGGAGCATTTCTGTCGTTAAATCCTAATTAGCAACGGATTAATGGTATTTAGCCACGGATATGTCCGTTGCTAAATGGCAGTTTTCTAGTAGTGATAATAAATAACATGCAAAATGTCCTAATTTTGAAATAATAGCAAACTAATTCCAAAAATTCCTAAATTAAATCATAGAACTTCTAACTGATCCAAATTTCAGATTCTGAAATTATTTTAAATTTTCAAAAAGTTTCGAATTTTCTTGAAATTAAAAACTAGAAAATCCCCTTTTTCTTTTAAAAATCAAAACCTCTAATATAACCTTAATTACTTTGAAAACCTTTGTAAAGAAAACTTTTCCCCATTTAATACTTGCTGGAAAAACAGATTCAAAATTTAGAAATAAGAGATTTTTTCGGAAATTGCAGTTTTGACCCCAAAGTTTCAAGATATACACATGCAACCACACTAGAAGTTCCAAATCCACTTTTTCATGAAAAATCCTTAACAATCTGAAATTTTACTTTAATAAATGCAGGAAAACAAGTTAAAAACTTACTTTATGCAGAAATTTTGAAAATTACATATTTTACCCCAAAATCTCTAGAAGTTCAAAAATCACTTTTTCTTGTAAAACTTCTTTAAATCCTAAATTTTTGTTCAATAAATGATGGAAAAAATTTGTGGAAACACATTTAGGACTGACTTCTCAAAAATTACAGATTTGACCCAAAACTTCTTAAGATCTACACATGCAACCCTATAAAAGTTCAAAAAATCATTTTTCTTGAAACCCCTTTTTGAAATCCGAAATTTTCAATGATTTTGGCCAATAAGAGTTGTATCTACCCACTACCAACATAGATGATGCATGCAAGAACAAGAAATCAACATTAAACACCTCTTTTCCATTTTTCCACAAAAAGCCCTAATTTTTTCGAAATCACTCCAAATCTTTTAAGGAATTTTGAAAACCATTTTAATACTATTGATGGCATTTAATTGCAGCAAGAAATCGGAATTTCTTACCTTAAAATCGAAGAGAAGAAAACAACCGAAGGAAGAGAGGCTTTCAAGCACCGAAATCTAACCAAGCTACTTTGATTGTGAATGAAATGGTGTGAGCTTCAAGGAGGGATGAGTTATTATCTCCCGTAAGGAGGCAAGTAGTTTTGATGGTGTTTTTGGTGTAGTCTATAGCAAGGGTTAAATAGGGGACTTTCATTTTTTTATTTTTTATTTTCTTGAAAATGGGAGTTGAGGTGGAAGAAGAAGAAGGCCGATGGTGGTGGTGATGGCTTCGGTGGAGAGAAATGGAGAAGACAAGTAAGGTGTTGAGGTGTTGAAAGGAAAAAGATGAAGGGTGTCTTTTGGGTTACTTTGAGTGTAGGATTAGAAAAATGATTAGGGTGTGCCAAGTGTAAAGGCATGTACACTTAATCACTAATTATTTTATTTAAAAAAAATAAACACAACTTGCTTCATATTATGATCATCTTGCTTCATAATGTAGAGTTTGAATAGGATAAAACGGGTACAAAAGTGATAATATTCCATATAATCTCGAAGAATCCGCTAAATTTGAGGAGTTGAGGGGTGGTTGTAATTATCCAAACAAGAGGGGTGTTTTTGTAATTTTGATCATACCTCAGGGGGTGTTTGTAATTTACCCTATTTTTTACAATTAAAACAATTCGAAAAAAAGGCAAATAAGGGGTTATAAATACAAATTATGGATTTATAAAATTAAATTTGTATGAGCCCCTTCTTCAAAACTCTCTCTGGATTCTCAAAAAACACGCGCTCTCTCTCTCTCCCTCTCTCTCTCCCTCTCTCTCTCCCCAACAATGGCGGCGAACACCACTATTCCTCATGATATCATGCTCGATATTTTTTCAAGACTCCCTGCAAAATCGATTTGCAGGTTCAAATGCTTATCAAAAGTATGGTCGAGAATGTTCTCCACTACATACTTCGTCAATTCCCAGCTTCATCGAAAACCGGACGAAGAAAGTGTAATTGTGATCTCCCGTGAAAACATCCAAACAATCGACAATATTCAGTTGAATGCCGTTTCAAGAACAATTGATTTCAAGCCGTCGCATGATTGGTTCAGAATTCTGGGTTCTTGCGACGGGTTGATCTTGTTGCAGACATTCGAATGTCGGGTCTTCTTGATCAATCCGGTCACCGTGGAGATCTTAGAAGTACCACCGGCGACGGAAAATCGAATACGGACCTACAAGTATGGCTTCGGCTACGATCCTTGCAACGACGAATATAAAATTGTGGAGGCACGATATTCTATGCCTTTTGTAGAGAAATCGAAAATGGCTGTCGAAGTTTATAATGTGAAACATGGTTTTTGGAAACGCGTGGAAGACTCCCCGTTCATTCCGTGTCCTACTCGAAACAGCCACTCCGCGTTCTTGAATGGGAAGATACATTGGCTCGTGGAGAAAACTGTCGAAGCAGGAGATGACTATAGTACGATCGCCGCCTTCGATTTGGCAAGTGAGGCATTCAAAGAAATAGCTCTTCCGAGTGGAATAAGTTTGAATAGAATTATATGGCAATGTAAACTCGTTGTTTTCGAAGGCTGTCTGTGTATAGTGGAATCCAAGTCCAATTCCGAGAATGACATCTGGAGTATGAAACAATACGGGGTGGCGGAGTCTTGGATAAAATATACTTTTTTTGGTGATTTTTTTGGGAAGAATTTGAAACCGCTGTGTTCTATTGAAGATGGAGACGAGATTTTGTTGAGTTCGTTGAATAAGTTGCAATTTTACAATTTGAACGAGTTGAGTTTGAGAGATGCTGTTATCGATGCCGGTCCACACACGGTATATGAAGAGGCATGGCCGTTCGTTGGAAGTATTCTATCGCCTTCTGTTGGGAGCCGTTTGTCGGAATAATTGTTGTAATTCCTCAATTTCGTTTTTCATCCCATTGTATCTTTGATTTTCGTTTTTCATTTTAGCGATTTGTTTCAAATTTCGATGGTATACAGTTACATTTAGTAGCCGTTTGTTGGGAAAATTGTTGTAATTCCTGTTTCGTTTTTCATGCCTGTGTATATCTTTGATTTTCGTTTTTCGCCAAAACTGCACTCGAGTATAGAAAAAAATAAGCTACTCGACCTTGCTTTCTATCTGACTTGATTAAAACGCTTTCGAGCTTAATTCAACCGGGAATCAAACTAAGATTTCAAACAAAACCCTTTTAACTTGAACAGCTACGACAAAGAAACAAAACGAAACAAAAACATTTTCTACGAGCTAGTTAAACTTGCAGGTTCGTAACAACTTACGCTTCAAAGAAATATTAAAGTACCTCTAATACTCCAAAACGAAGGCGATACTTTTTCAAGTTAATTACTCGTATGGTGCTCCAGTTAATGCGGTGTTTTCATCTTCATCGTCAAATTCCTGCTCCACACTTTTGACCTCGGGCACATAATGCATGAGCATATTCTCGATCCCAGATTTAAGAGTGACGGAGGAGCTAGGACAGCCACTGCAGGCTCCTTGCATCCTTAGTTTGACTATTCCACTGTCTGGATCGAATCCGACATACTCGATATCTCCACCATCATCTTGTACAGCTGGACGTATACGAGTCTCTAATAGTTCCTTAATCATAGCAACAACCTCGGAATCATCCTCTTTTATAGCTGTGTCCATTGAAGCTGCAGAGTTTGAATCCAAGATCAATGGCTGCCCAGAGGAGTAGAAATCCATGATTGCTGCGAAGATTTCGGGTTTCAGAAAATCCCATGTGGTGTCTTCTGACTTTGTCACGGTTACAAAGTCGGAACCGAAGAAGACCCGCGTAATTCCTGTAACAACCGAAATTTAGGTTTGATCTATTAAATAAATGATCAATCTATGAAATCGATGCAGAGATAGACAGTAGTTCTTGTACAGTAAAAAATCATGTCCCTTGTACGCATTGTTGACCGAACGAACCGCTCTCGCGTCAACTCTGATCAATCATCCAACGGCTACGATTATAAGAGAATCGAATATCTCGGCTTCCTGCAACGGTCTGATCTGCATTATGATCGGACCCTACCGGTTCTCGTTGTGGAATCCCGCAACGAAAGAGTTCAAGGATCTGCCCCACTTCCTCACCGGACTCGAGCGCTCTCTGTTTACGTAACTTAGGAGATACGGATTCGCCTTTGCTGAAATCAACTGCGACTACAAGGTTTTTGCTCTCTTTCACGTGCATGCTGTTACTTACGAATTTTTTATCGTATGGAAAGTGTATAGCTTGAATTCCGATTCTTGGGGAGGAACTAAGACCTACAACAACGGATCTCCGTTTTTCGACGATACGTTTCATAAGTTGGGAACGTTTGCGAGCGGGAAGCCTCACTGGATAAGTGATAAGAATAGAACGATGTCCGAATGGAAGATTGTTTATTTCGATTTCAATAGTGAGACTACCAGAGTTGTGGAGAAACCTAGTTGCGTCGAGAAGGATTCTTATAATATTCGTAATCTAAGATTGGGAGTTCTTGATGAATGTCTTTGTTTGTTTTGTGTCGGTACGAATCGGTTCGATATCTGGGTTCGGAACAAGTACAGGGCGGAAGATTCTTGGGATAGATTTTTAAATGTTTCTTACGCATCGATTTATTGCGATCCTTTGTTAAGGATCTCATTGAATCCGTCGCTCTTGACCCTATTGCTTGTGTTGCCAAATGGCGAGGTTTTGTTTGCTTACGTATCGAACTTCCTGATTTACAATCAGGAAGACAATCGGTTTAGGCAATGTTGCATATATGACGGTGAAAGTTTAATCTCGCTCACTTCTACATGATTAATTACGACGACGATGATGTGACGAAAACAAAAGTGTATTATTCAATGATGGTGTTTTATTTTCTTCAAAACTAACTTTGGTTATTTTCTACTTATAAACCTTCTTGTTTGGTTGGTGATATCTGTAGACTCATTAAATTAATTAATTGGTTAATTAAATTAACCAATTAAATTGTGTCTAAATTAAATTATATCTTGTCTTGCAAGACAAGTCATGGGGATAATTATTAATTAATTATTGGCCAATAAGATTATTTCTTCTCTTCCAAGTTATAAGAGATAAATATCAATTTAAAGAGAGCCAATCAAATCGCGCCACGTCATCAAGTAGACTTTAAGTAGGACTCTTATTCTACCACTATAAATAGAGAGCCTCCCTTCACAATAAAAAACACAACTCAAGAAGAATAAAAAACCGTAGGAGAAAATTCTCTCTACAACATTCAAGTCATCTTCATCAAATCGAGGGCGTTCTTCATCAAATCGAGGGCGTTCTTCAACAAATCAAGATCGAAGGAAGTTCAAGTCAAAACCCGTCAAAGTTCTGCGTTCGATCCGAGATTCAAGTCGCAAGACCCTCGGAAGACGTTATTCAAGTTCAAAATCAAATCCGGAGAAGATCAAGTCAACGACCCGACTCCGAAATTCAAAGTCAAACAAATATTCTTCTTGAGAGAAGAATCAGAGGATTAAATTAGAGTTTGTAACCCGCAATATTTATTTTTAATTCAATAAATTATCTTTGTGCAATTCTTTCTTGTTTGTTTATATAGGAGATAAGAATTTGTTGCTACAAATTTTGGCACGCCCGGTGGGACATCTCTACCTCTCATCTCTTCTCTCTCTCGAAGATCCTCAAAGTGTTGCCGTGACTGCTCTACGTTCCCAATGAAGACGGCTACTTCGGATTCATCAAGTGTGGGCTTAGTTATAAGAAGTATGGCTAAGAAGCTGGAAGTATCCTCCAAGACTAGCTCGACGCCCCAAACCGTTCAAAAAGGCTTACCACCTCTTGTCAACACAAGCGCAGACGTGGAAGGATCAAAACGAGAGATTTCACAGCCCATGCCTCATTCAACATCAAGCTACCCAGAGATGGCATCCGTCATGACAACAAACGCTACAACTATGGAAGAAGCATCCTCCAAGACTAGCTCGACGCCCCAAACCGTTCAGAAAGGCTTACCACCTCTTGTCAACACAAGCGCAGACGTGGAAGGCTCAAAACGAGAGATGTCACAGCCCATGCCTCATTCAACACCAAGCTACTCAGAAATGGCATCCGTCATGACAACAAACGCTACAACTATGGAAGAGCAAATTGCAAGTTTGACCAAGGCTATTGAGGGACTCACAAACCATGTTCAACAACGAGATTCTCAAATTGCCAAGTTGATCGAGAAGATGAACATAGCCGATGCTAGTCAAATTGTGGAACAGATAGAGGCTCAAGACGAAGTCGAGGCATCCACAAAGAAACAGCCAGTTGAAAACAAGAAGGCTCCAGCTCAAGATTTTCAAGTTTCTCCAGAAGGGATGATTCATGTAGATCAAGTGATGACGCTGATCAGTGGAACCATCAAAGACAAGTTGGAACGAGGCTCGAAGTCTCCATCAACCTATGTCAAGCCATACACGCAAAGGATTGATGATCTAAGGATGCCAATGGGCTATATACCTCCAAAGTTTCAACAATTTGACGGCAAAGGCAACCCCACGCAACATGTGGCCCACTTCGTCGAGACTTGCAATGATGCCGGGACGTACGGAGATCACCTCGTCAAGCAATTCGTCCGATCGCTCAAAGACAACGTGTTTGATTGGTACATCGATTTGGGGGCAAACTCCATTGATAGTTGGAAGCACTTGGAGGAAGAATTTCTCAACCGCTTTTAGAGCACTCGAAGAACAGTCAGCATGATTGAGCTCACCAATTCCCGCCAATGGAAGAAGGAACCTGTCATCCACTACATCAGCCGTTGGAGAAATTTGAGTCTTAATTGCAAGGATCGACTGCCTGAGACATCAACTATTGAACTGTGCATCCAAGGAATGCAATGGGGACTCCGATATATCCTTCAAGGAATTCAACCTAGAAGTTTTGAAGAGTTGGCCACTCGAGCACATGATATGGAGTTGAGCATAACTGCAAATGGATTCGAAGAACCTTCATTCCAAAAGTCGTACCAGCTCAATGAAGAACATGTCGAAGAAGAACAAGAAGATCATGAGGATGAGGGCAAGTCTTTTGAAGAAACAACATCCTATGCAATATAACAAGTCAAATCAAGTGAAACACTCCTTGACACGAGTATAAAAGGTTTACATGTCCATATCAAATGAAGTACTCCTTGACACGAGTTTAAAAGGTATACATGTCCAAATCAAATCAAATACTCATTGACATGAGTTTAAAAGGTCTACAAGTCCAAATCAAGTGAAACACTCCTTGACACGAGTTTAAAAGGTCTACATGTCCGAATCAAATCAAGCACTCCTTGACACGAGGTTAAAAGGTCCACAAGTCCAAATCAAGTGAAATACTCCTTGACACGAGTTTAAAAGGTCTACAAGTCCAAATCAAGTGAAACACTCATTGACACGAGTTTAAAATGTCTACATGTCCAAATCAAACGAAACACTCCTTGACACGAGTTTAAAAGGTCTACATGTCCAAATCAAATCAAATACTCCTTGACATGAGTTTAAAAGGTCTACAAGTCCAAATCAAGTGAAACACTCCCTGACACGAGTTTAAAAGGTCTACATGTCCAAATCAAATCAAGCACTCCTTGACACGAGGTTAAAAGGTCTACAAGTCCAAATCAAGTGAAATACTTCTTGACACGAGTTTAAAAGGTCTACAAGTCCAAATCAAGTGAACACTCCTTGACACGAGTTTAAAGGTCTACATTTCCAAATCAAATAAAACACTCATTGACACGAGTTTAAAAGGTCTACAAGTTCAAATCAAATCAAAGCTCCGTGATACGAGCATAAACCATCTATATATCCAAATCAAGTCAATGCTCCTTGATACGAGCATAAACTATCTACATATCCAAATCAAGTCAAGGCTTTGTGATACGAGCATAAACTATCTATATATCCAAATCAAGTCAAGGCTCCTTGATACGAGCATAAACTATCTAAATATCCAAATCAAGTCAAGACTCCTCGATACGAGCATAAACTGTCTATATATTCAAATCAAGTCAAAGATCTTTGATACGAGCATAAACTATCTACAAATCCAAGTCAAATACTCTTTCAGCACGAGTTTAAACTGCAAATGTTTATCCTTGTCCACATGAGTATAAACTGTGCACGACATCCCTCAAAAGGATATATTTTGAACTACGTTATGACTTGATCCCTCTATAGGGTACGTAGGCAACTTAGAATCTCTCTAAGTCCAGTCATGATTTCAAAAGATGTATGTGCTTTGCTAGATCAAACTGCAATTGAAGTTAAGCAATTATCGAGACTCATTCACTCCAAGACGCATTGTCCGTGAACAAGTCTCGAGGGGGCATTTGTAGACGCATTAAATTAATTAATTGGTTAATTAAATTAACCAATTAAATTGTGTCTAAATTAAATTATATCTTGTCTTGCAAGACAAGTCATGGGGATAATTATTAATTAATTATTGGCCAATAAGATTATTTCTTCTCTTCCAAGTTATAAGAGATAAATATCAATTTAAAGAGAGCCAATCAAATCGCGCCACGTCATCAAATAGACTTTAAGTAGGACTCTTATTCTACCACTATAAATAGAGAGCCTCCCTTCACAATAAAAACACAACTCAAGAAGAATAAAAAACCGTAGGAGAAAATTCTCTCTACAACATTCAAGTCATCTTCATCAAATCGAGGGCGTTCTTCATCAAATCGAGGGCGTTCTTCAACAAATCAAGATCGAAGGAAGTTCAAGTCAAAACCCGTCAAAGTTCTGCGTTCGATCCGAGATTCAAGTCACAAGACCCTCGGAAGACGTTATTCAAGTTCAAAATCAAATCCGGAGAAGATCAAGTCAACGACCCGACTCCGAAATTCAAAGTCAAACAAATATTCTTCTTGAGAGAAGAATCAGAGGATTAAATTAGAGTTTGTAACCCGCAATATTTTATTTTAATTCAATAAATTATCTTTGTGCAATTCTTTCTTGTTTGTTTATATAGGAGATAAGAATTTGTTGCTACAATATCTATGTTGATTAATTATATAATTTGATCGTATTTGATGTTCGACCAACAATTCATGTGGACACTTAAGACCGGCGAAAAAATTTGAAAGAAAAAAAAAATGAAAAGTCAATGCCGGAATCCGGCGGCAAAATTTCTTTTTTTTTTTTTTGAAAAAAAAATGTTTTTGGAAAAAAAAAAATTTGGGTCAAAATTGAATAATTTGTGAAATTTGGGGTCAAATTGAGATTAAATTAAGTTAAGGATGAAATTTGAGCATATTGAAGTATGCTCCAAAAAAAGTCAAAATTGAATTTTTGTGGTCAAAATTGGATTTTTGTGGACAAAATTGATTAAATTGGGGTTACAATTAAGAATTGGGTATAAATGGTTGAGGATGATATTGGTATATACATGAATGTTTCCTTTATTTATAGGATAAATGGCAAATAAACCCATGACAACAGCACTTAATTAAAAGAGGGACATCCAACTTTTTTGTCTTTCACATAAATCCAGCCCATTCAAACTTATTTGCAAATAAGGAAAATCTTTTTATATATACCAAAATTACCCCCAATTCATTGAAACTCAATTCAACTCCAATTTCATAATTTACACCCACAATTTAGCCCAATTTCATCAATTAATCAATTTTAACCCTAATTTTAATTTTGACCCTAATTTTGACCCGCCACCACCGGAGACCGCCGGTCGCTGCCGGTTTCCGGCGTTGACTTTTTTTTTTTTTTTTTGAGAAACTTTTTTTTTTTTCGGCCAGTCAACTACCATTGACCGTCGGGTCTCCG